AACCCCCAGGCATAGGATGGAGCCACAATAAGTAATAACAAGGGGAAAATCTGGTGAAGAACAGGAGGTCCAAGGTTACTTAGGGGAGCCAATGGGTCTCTTGTTTAAATTTGCATTTAGCTTAGTTTCAAATAAACTATTTAAGATATTTTTATGAAAGCTTATGCGCTGATACATAATTTGGTGAGAATTCATCAACTATGTCCATTTTTAGGTCACCTGAGTTTACTCAGGTGACCTATTGCTATCTGTTTTCGTCCGTCGGTGTGCGTCGTCCGTTAACATTTGAACATTTTCAGCTTCTTCTCTGGAACCACTGAACCAATTTCAACCAAATTTGGCCCATAGCATCTATATGTGAAGGGGAGTAAAAATTGTGAAATTCATGACCCCTAGCCCCTTGGGGCCTGAGGGGTGGGGTTAAAACCATCAGAATTAATGCAATCTTTAAAAATCTTCTTCTTTACTCCTGGGCATCAAGCAGGCAAACTGTTGGCATGAATGTAATAAGCATTGAGCCCTCTACCTAAATTGTGAAATTTATGGCCCCAGGGTCAGGGGTTCTGGTGCTAGGGTGGGGCTCTGTTGAATATGTAGTGAAAAGCATTATTCTTAAAAAATCTTCTCCTCTGCTCTTGGGTATTTAGGAAACAAACAATATGCATAGTTATGATGAGGAAAGGTGTCTCTTCTAAAATTGTGAATTTCATGGCCCCTGGGTCAGGGGTTCTGGTGTTAGGGTGGGTATCTAATGATTATATAGTGAAAATGCATTAATTATTCAAAAATCTTCTCCTCTGCTCCTGGGTATTAAGCCGATGAACTAAATACATAGTTATGATGAGAAAGAGTGCCTCTTCCAAAATTGTGAATTTCATGGCCCAAGGGTCAGGGGTTCTGGTGTTAGGGTGGGGCTCTGTTGAATATATAGTGATAATGCATTATTTCTTAAAAAAGCTTCTTCTGTGCTCTTGGATATTATGAAAACAAAATAAATATATAGTTATGACGATGAAAGGTGCCTCTTCCAAAATTGTGAATTTCATGGCCCCAGGGTCAGGGGTTCTGGTGTTAGGGCAGCGTTCTGTTGAATATACATGTATAGTGAAAATGCATTATTTCTTTTAAAAATCTTCTCTGATCCAGGGAAAACAAGCTGAAGGCATAGTTATGATGAATAAGGGTGCCTATTCCTATATTGTGAATTACATGGCCCCCTGGTCAGGGGCTCTGGTTTTAGGGCGGGGCTCTAATGATTACATAGTAAAAATGCAATAATTCTTTGACAATCTTCTCCTTTTCTCCTGGGTAATAAGCCGATGAACTAAGAGTATAGTTATAATATGTAAGGGTGCCTGTTCCAAAATTGTGAAATTCATGGCCCCTAGGTCAGGGGTTCTGGTGTTAGGGTGGGGCTATGTTGAATATATAGTGATAATGCATTATTTCTTTAAAAATCTTTTTCTTTGATCCTGGGTATTTAACAAACAAACTGATGCATAGTTATAATGAGTAAAGGTGCCTCTTCCAAAATTATGAATTTCATGGCCCCTGTGTTAGGGGTTCTGGTGTTAGGGTGGGGCTCTAATGATTACATAGTGAAAATGCATTAATTCTTTGATAATCCTCTGCTCTCTTTCTGGGTATTAAGTAAGCTTACTAAATGTAAAATTATGATGAGCAAGTGTGCCTCTTTTGAAATTGGGAATTTCATGGCCTCTGGTTTAAAACATGAATCCATTGTGGCGAAGTTGTTGCATGATACTCAGGTGACCTATAAGGCCCGTGGGCCTCTTGTTTTTTACCTGGACATTCCCAATGACCTTTGACATAACTATTTATTGTGCATGAAACTCACTTTAAAAAAACTTTTCAAGATATTTTCATCAAACTTAATACACTAATACAAATTTTCATATTGAAACAATAAACTCTGGGCAAGGCATTTATGTCATATGGACATATTACTAGTTTTATATATTATACAATGTATATTTTCAATACAATATATATTTGAGAATCTTCTTTTACTTTTGGAACTCTAGCAGGCAAAATGCTTTTCTGGCTATAAAGAGCAGTTATCTTTCCAAAGCTGTGAAATTCATAAGTTCCACTGGGTCTACGATTCAGGCCTCAGGGTAGGGCTAATTTGTCATTTAGTGAAGTTTTATTATACTTTAATATACCCTTGAAAGTCTATTTATTCCTGAATGTTTGGCTAGGAAAGTGTATGTGTGATGACAGTAACCAGAATGACCTTGCTAGAATACAGTCAAACCTCATTATCTCGAACTTGCTGGGACCAAGAAAATACTTCGAGATATCTGAGGATTCGAGATATCCAGGGTAAAATATTTAAAGAATAAGGGGTTGGGACTTCCAAATCACTTCGACTTATCCTTGATATTCCAGATATCAGTGTTTGAGATACCAAAGTTCAACTGTATTTCATTTGCTATGTTGATATTGTGATGTTTAGTATGGTTGATGTTGTATAATTATTTTGCAGTGATTGTGAATGCAGTGAATGTGAATCAAAAAACTGCAGGGAGTTTGCTCATGGCATGCACTTTTTTCAAGATTGGATTGATCGTCGATTCAATTCCAGGTATTGCATGTTTCATCTAAATTTTAGCAAGTTTTTTTTATTATCATTCTGTAGTTAAAAGGTAAGCTAAAAGCCATGCCAATGCATGTATGTCTTCTTTAATAAGGCCTTGGAACTGCATATGAAAGACAATTTGTCCATTCTGTCTGTTGCAGTTTTTTTGGGCAGTGCTAGAGTTGCATTGACCAATTTTCAAATGCCATTTTTTTTTCAGAAGTGTTGATGGAAAATATTAAAAGTGTCCACATACTGTAAACCAAGTTTTCTTTGAATGCAAGAAATATCCGCGAGTTTCGCAACGTACTTTAACTCGCAAATATTAATAACTGCGAACCATTTATATTGTTTTGTATTTATAGAGAATGTTCACTCAGTCAAGAAAATTAATTGTGACAGTCGCAGATTGATTTCAAACTGACAAATCATGAATAAAAGATGACACGAAAAATAGTTGGTTTACAGTATTACCTTTTTTGAAATCTTGTACAATATTTTGTGTATTTCAACAAACATGAACTTCATAGTCCTCGACCTTTAATTTGGGGTCTGAGAAGTGGGACCAAAATCATGAAAATTCATACTATCTTTATTCATCTTCCTCCTTTGCATAGTTATAGTGATCAACTAGCCCTTTACCATCTTTAAATTTCATGTTCCATGGGTCAGTGATTCACGCTACAGGATGAGGTCAATTTAGTTAAATTTTCCATACAATATACATATAAGAAGAAATCTTATGAACTACCGGTCAGGATCAGGAACGATGAAACTTAGGTGACAGCTTTCTGAGATGGTGTGGCTTTAAATTGGTCAAATCATGGCCTCCTAGGTTAAGGTGGGGTCAAAGCTTATATGGGAATATATAGGAAACAATCTTTAAAAATCTTCTCAAGAACTTATGGGCCAGAGGAGATTAAACTGACATTTGTAAGCCTTCTCATATACTTAAGATTCTAAATTGTTCAAAAAGGGGATCAAAATTATAGGGAAAAAAAATTTAAAAGTCTTCACCACAAGAACCACTCAGCCAGCAAAGATTGAAACTTATTTGTAAGCTCCCTGACATAGTGCAGCTTCTAAATTGTTCAAATCATGGCCCCTGGATGTAGAGTTGAGCCATATAAGAGGGGATAAAAGTTTTACACAGAAATAGATTTGAAAAAGTTTTACACAGAAATAAATTGGAAAAACCTACAGCAAAGCCATGATAAGTGTTATTGATATGCAAGCATCCTCATATAGTGCAGATTCAAAACTGAATGAATTCTAGGAGGCTTAGCTGGGGCTTAATAGCTGATAACATATTTTAAATGGGAATGTATACGACATCTTTAAAAATATGAAGAATATCAATAGAATAATTAATATTCAAAACCTGAAAAATTGGTATGTATTTTTAGCGAGAAGTAATTTTAGCAATTTTGTAATGCCAACAAATGGAAGTTATTAAACCAATATTCAATTAATTGTTAGCGGTATTCAAATTAAGCGACCTCAACACCCTCGCAAATAATGCCAAAATTAAATCCGCGCTAAAAATTCTGCTTATACGATATTTCAGATTTCTGTGGATTCTATTTGTTTTTATTCTTTGGACCTTGTTTAGCTTGGGCTTAAATTATTATTTTAAAAAATTGGGATAAAATATAACACAATGCATGTATACTGCGAAAAATTCTTCTTCATAATAACAAGGCCATGTGATGTCAATACCCATGTTCTGTAGATTCAGAGACCGCTTGGAACTAGGGTGGGGCACAATACGGGGTCACATAACTCACATTTTTTCATGGGAATGAAGGGGAAAGGAAACTTTTGAAAATCTGAAGAGTAGCAGGGTTAAGGTATCAGGTAAGCATTGTGGCCCCATGGGCCTCTTGTATTTCTACTCTGGGGCCCGTTTTACAAAAGAACTTAAGACTTAGACCAAAATTTAATTCTGCTAATAACTTTCTAATTTACATAAATGAATAGAAAATGGTTTTAATCTTTATAACAAGTATGTAGAAAGATACTTTTACGCTAGCAATTGTAATCAGAATCAAAAATTTTGCAAAATTTTATAATCAACTAAAGTTTTGGGTCTTAGTCGTAAGTTCTTTTGTAAAACGGGCCCCTGAACTTCATGTTAAGTTTTGTTTAATGTTTTTTTTTACTCTTAATTAGATGCAGTGTATGCAAGGGCCAGATCATTTGGACACTTCCTGAACCTCCGCCATGCCTTTTCCTGAAACTATGGCACTTGAACTTAAGAATGGAGCATTTACCTAAAGTGATCCACGTGCTAGGCAACAGATACATATTGGGTTCTATATATTTACATGCCAACCAGCACTTTACTGCATGGGTGTCCAGACCTCATGGAATGGCATTCTATGATGACAATAATGTGGATGAACATGACAAGTTTTCAGCCAAATTTGATGATTGTAAGGAATTCCCTGGAGGTGGTAAACCTTGCTTGGCTTCTTATTTTATCTCATAAAAGTTAAAGCATTCTAAGCAGACTTGGTTGTTAGCAATTTCTAAGCAATGTGCTATTAAAGAGCAGTTTGTTTTGGGGTCTTGGGATTTTAAGTTACAGGCGTTGGGTAGTATTATTTTGTATTTTAGCAGTATGTAGGGTTAGTTATGTCTGGTAGAAAAGCTGTGTAATTTTCAAGGCCCACAAAAATGTTTTGTTTTGGGGGTGTGAGAATCTTCCCTTCTAAGCTTGCCACTGTGTATGACTGTATAAATGTCTTTTAAATTTCAAATATACTATTAATTTCTACTTTTACTTTGCTTTAAACTAACACAAAAGCATATCCAAAGTGTCAGTGTTGATTTTTTAACATGGCATTTTTTTTTTAAAGAATTCTTTAAGGCAAATTATATGTTTACATGATTCACATTCTCATTTGTACAAGTGTATTGTTTTTTTTTTCTTTTAATACTGAGCATTCCTAGGCTATTTTAATGTTGAGTATTCCAACTGAATGGTTTCCTGTATACATGTATTTTATGAAGATAAATGATGAAAACCTTGTTGAAAATTTTTTAAAATATATAAATAATTGTTCTTCTGTAAAACCTGTTTAATTATAAGTTTGTTTATGATCAAATTGTAAAATATCCATATTGTAGACAAAAACAAAAATTCTCAATATTATAATGTTTGATATTTTTCCTTTAGCTCTCTTCACTAGTACATGTTTATGTTAAGACATATATGATCATCATTATTTACACTCCACATATATTTTCCTTATAAAGTGTGCAGAAAGCTTTGGGAATCAAAACACCATGACATGGACGGTGAGGTCAAAAGGTTAATTTATGATTTTTATTTTGACATCACAAACATTCAACACCATGTAAGTGCAATGTCATAGGCAAAAAAATCAATATTCATGCTTAATTTTTCAGCACAGCTGTCCATGACATGACATGTTGAACATCCAAAATTTACATTACATGTAAATCAATGCTTTATTAAAACCACCAACCCTATTTGTCAATGGTAGCCATTTTCTTGTATTAACAGTACATTGGAAGTGGTATGGTGGAATCATAAATGTTGTTCATGCTTGCTTATTATGTTTATGCTAGCTGTAATTATAACTTGAAGTCTATGATTACAATAGATGTGTTCAATGAATTGATTATTTACTTCATGAAAGGCAAAGAGTGCAATGTTTTATTTTCAGAACAGAGTTAATATATTTATATTTGACAGTGAATTAATTCCTGTTTTGTTAAAGTTGAAATTTTAGGTCAACTGTGTCATCCATGTTAATTTTTTTTACACAGTTCATCCATGAATACAGAAGTATTTACCAAAAGATATGTATTTTCGTACTGATATTTTGTTAGATCAGATTATTTGATGATTGGAAAATCAATTTAGAGTAATTCTGATGTTTTCTAAAATATAGAATCATACTTGTAGCTTTATTAATTGTTCATTAAATCCATTGTTTTTTTAATGTTTTTTTTTTTTTTTAGATACCATATATACTCGCCTATAAGTCGGTTTTTTGGGAGTTAAACTGTGGTCCAAAACTCTTTATCCGACTTATACGCGAGATATAGGCGGACCGACTTATAGGCGAGTATATACGGTAAGCAATGTTATGATATTTGTAATGATACATTTTAGAATGCTTTGCTTATGTCCATTACTAATGAATATCTTTTATAGAATGTTTTTTTGAGTACTTAAAGCTCATGATAAAGCATTTTACTTACTTACTTATTTAGTCCTCTTCGTGCTTTGAGCACATAAGGCCTGCATTGAGGACCTCCATCTTTGTCTGTCCACTAACATTTGCTGTACCATATACCCCAAGTCCATCCCTTATCTTTCATCTCTTTTTCTACTGAATGTCGCCATGTCTCCTTTGGTCACTCTCTTGTTTCATTTTCCTGGTGGAGTCCATCTTCAGGCTACCCTAGGTATATATGATGTTTCCATTCTCAGGACATGGCCAATCCATTTCCATCGTTTTTCTTTGATCTGGTCGGATATGGCAGCTGTTTGTGTTCTTTCATACAGCTCCTCATTGCTGATCTTGTTTGGCCAGAATATCTTAAGTATTCTAAGGAGGCTCTTGCAAGGATTTAATGTCTAGTTTTTGAGCAATGTTGTTTGTATCCTTCAAGGACTCGGATCCATAGAGGAGGACTCCAATAACATTTGTTTTGAATATCCTTATTTTGGTTTTTGTTCTGATAATTGAAGATTTCCAGATGTTCTGTAGGTTTGCAAAGGTGGCACAGGCTTTTGCTATTCCATTTTCAATGTCCTTGGTGGAATCTCCATTGGTTGTGATCTTCCTGCCAAGATATATAAAGTTGTCTACTTCTTGTATTACGTTGTTGTTTGCTGTAACTTCCTTATCTATCTTTGTATTTATTTTCATTAACTTTAGAAGTAACATAAATATGCATAGGTGTATTGTCCAATCAGATGTTTCAATTTCTGAGGGATGTTTTTAGTAACCATGCAAGGCCCCGTTTTACAAAAAAATTATGACTAAGATCAATTTAGAATGATATTTTTATGCTAGCATTTTTTAACAGAATCATTTATTTTGCAAGATTTTACAATCAACTCAAGTTTTTGGTCTCATTTGTAAGTTCTGTAAAATAAGACCCAGTTTATGTCCTAGCTGTTTTATAAAGGTGTTCAAAAGCTATGCAGTAAACTTGATGCTTCACTTATTGGACAGTTTTTATTTAGGGCAAGGCTGTCTTCACCACCTAGGTACCACTTTTGCAGATATTATTTTTGGACAATAACAAGTGGTCAGTTGCTGTTGTATTGTCTGTCCCACAGTATGAACTAGTATATTGACAAATCATCAAGTTCTCAGTCTATGGGGATCTATAATTACGAAAAATGGCTGCCACTTCAGAGAGGGATCCATCATTATTCACGATTTTCTGTTTCTTGCCATCAGTGTTTAATGAGGAAATGATGTAAGTAAATATTTGGAATCGAATTATATATCACACTTGGATAATCTCTGGAATTAACCATGACTCCCCCACTCACATGACAGCAAAAGTGAGAATTTAACATTATATAAATTGTAGACTGAGAAAAATTATGTCATGAATGTATGTATCCAGTCTGGTTAATATATATAACCCTATATATATATATATATAATACATATACCCTAGGGTTGTAAAACTGCTTAATAAAGCTCATGTGAGATTCAAAGTTGACAAAAATTTTACATTTTGCTGTGAGTTCCATGTATTTATGTTGATATCAAAAGGACCACATTGGTGAATATTGTAAAGATTTGATGACAAAAGAGTTATACTCCTTTACAAGTTTTTTACCCGTGATACGAATGTTTGGACTTACTCAAAAAACTTATGTTCACTGATAAATAATGGGACTGCAGTAGCAGATTTTGAGATTAATATTTGTCATTTCTTGGAATCTCAACACATAGCTTTATATGTATTAATATTACGGTAGTGATCAATATGTACATGTATTTTAATATACTGTGCATTTCACTTATGGATAGAATAATAATGTATTCTAGCATTTTTTCAAAATGTACTTAAAAGTATGACTTTCTAGTCAGGTACCTAAGTTTTTCAATGATTTTGTGTGTGTGTTATTGACTCATGATTGATAAAATGTTTTCAAAAGGAATTTGTTCATTGAGAATTTTGGAAAATTTCAAATACATGTAATGAAGATGTTCATTTAAACAATAGAATGCTTTCTTTGGTTGTTAGTATGGAAAAACAATTGAAACTGTTGGAAGAGAAAACAAATATTTGAACAACTCTGTATTTACTCATTTACATGAATCAAAATATTGTACATCACGTCTATATGTATATGTCATTTTGTTTGTGTTGGGGAGGACAATCTAGGATGGTAAAACTTGTGTCCAATCCTATTGATTATGTTTCAATAAAATATGTTTAAATCATTAAATCAGTCAAAACACTCCGTGTTTTCTCATTTACATGAATCAAAATACTGTAAATATTTGTGCATCATGTAGGCGTATTGTTTAATGGTCATTTTAAGTAAATCTGTCGGTATAAATGATGGACACATCAAATATACCTCATACAGGACCCAAATTTTGTCTCTTCCAATGGAAAGCATTTTTTAGTTGCTAAAGGTAAAAGCAAACCGTAATACAAACTGGAAAATTTATTGATTTGTTTATTTTAGCTCACCTGAGCTGAAAGCTCAAGTGAACTTTTCTGATCACCCGTTGTCCGTCGTCCGTCCGTCTGTCCGTCCGTCTGTAAACTTTTCACATTTTCAACTTCTTCTCAAGAACCACTGGGCCAATTTTAACCAAACTTGGTACAAAGTATCCTTGGGTAAAGAGAAGTGTAAATTGTTAAAATAAAGGGCCAAGTCCCCTTACAAGGGGAGATAATCAAGAAAAGACAAAAATAGGGTGGGGTCATTAAAAAATCTTCTCAAGAACCACTGGGCCATAAAGCTAAAACTTATGTGGAAGCATCCTGGGATAGTGTAGATTCTAAATTGTTAAAATCATGACCCCCGGGGGTAGGGCGGGGCCACAATAGGGAATCCAAGTTTTACATTGAAATACATAAGAAAAATTTTGAAAAATCTTCTTCTCAAGAACCACTGGGCTAGAAAAGCTGAAACTTATATGGAAGCATCCTGGGGTAGTGTAGATTCTAAATTGTTCAAATCATGACCCCGGAGGGTAGGGCGGGGCCACAATAGGGAATCCAAGTTTTACATAGAAATATTTAGGAAAAATCTTAAAAAATCTTCTTCTCAAGAACCACAGGGCCAGAAAAGCTGAAACTTATTTGGAAGCATCCTGGGGTAGTGTAGATTCTAAATTGTTAAAATCATGACCCCCGGGGGTAGGGCGGGGCCAC